AGAGAGAGAGAGAGAGAGAGAGAGAGAGAGAGAGAGAGGGATGAGAGGAGAGACAGACAGAGAGAGAAAGGGAAGGAGAGATAGAGGGATGAGAGGAGAGATAGACAAAAACGGACAGAGACAGAGTGCAAGAGGGATGGAAGGGAGACAGACAGACAGATAGAGACAGAAAGACAGAGCAGGAAAAGAGAAGAATAACAAGGGCAAGAGAAAGTGAGGTATAGACTTTGAGAGCCCACCAAACCACCATTATGTAGGGAAGAGCTGGCACCTCAACCTTGATTCCTAGCATCTACACCTGCAGAGACTGCTAAGAATGGACTTATTGAGTGAGGTCATTTTCTCCATGGTGGCACGAAGATTTCATCTTTCTCTGGGATCACAGAGCTCCCTAACTCTTGAGTACTCCATCGCCTAAACTAATCGGTCTGGCTTCCCCAATTACTGCTTTACTGCTTGCTTTGATGTTTGCCCAGTATCCGTGATTCTTTTGTATAATATATGTTTGGTAAAAGGGAAAGCTAAACTGGCCAAGATTAAATTCATAGCTATTCTCCAGGTCTGGCGAGAAACTGTTACCAGGGAAAATGGCTTTTATCCAAATCTCCCCTCTCCAAAAATCAAACAAACAAAAAATGATCATGCCCCCAGACTTCAAATATCTGATATGTAATAGATAGAATTAATTCCAGCCCAATACCCCTACTGGAGACAGCAGAGTAAAGAAATGAGCACCCAGCCACAGCTGTCCCTCCCCTCCCCATAAAGGAAGAAACCTAATCTCCCTAAAGAGGTAGAGTGGAGGCAGCTAGGTGGCTAGATAGAGCACCGGCCCTGAAGTCAGGAGGACCTGAGTTCAAATCCAACCTCAGACCAAACACTTGACACTTAGTAGCTGTGTGACCCTGCACAAGTCACTTAACCCCAACTGCCTAAGCAAAAAAAAAAAAAAAGAGGTAGAGTGAAACATTTCTGTATCTATCTACATATCTCTGATACACAGTCTACCTATTATATTGATAACTCCCAGATGAGAAAACTTCCTCTGCCAATTCAGGTTGGCATCTCTCTGATTTGCCTAGGGTCATAGTCACTATGTGCAAGGGCAGGATTTGAACCCAGGTCTTCTTGGCTTCAAGACCCCCACTCTTGATCCACTATGCCACATTGTCTTTCAGTTATTATCATCATTAATAATTATGACTGAGTCAGCCTCTTCTCTAGCCATGGTCCATAGCTCATACCCCACAGCCACCACCAAATAACCAACAATTGATCCACAAACATTTAGCTACTATGTGCAAGGAACTGTACTACGCATTGGGGACAAAATCAGTCAGCAAGCATTTATTAAGCACCTGCTGTATGCTAGGCACAGGGAGGGTGAGGAGGATACAAAGACAATGAACCAGACCCTGCCCTCAACCAGCTTATGTTCTACCAGGGAGAGGCAAACAAGCAGGCAAATGCAACATAGAAACAAAATAATACGAAGTGATTGAGAGGTGGGGAGTACTAGTCACTGTAGGGCATGAGATGAGGAAAAGTTTGATATAGGACGTGCCACTTGAGCTGGGTTTTCAAGGAAGCCAAAGATTCCTTGAGAGATAGAGGAGGAGGTGCAACTAGGTGGTGCAGAGGATAGTACACAGGATCTGAGTTCAAATCGGGCCTCGAGACTTACTAGATGTGTGACCCTAGGTGAGTCACAACACCCCAACTGTGTGTGTGTGTGAGAGAGAGGGAGGGAGAGAGAGAGAGAGAGAGAGAGAAGAAGAAGAAGAAGAAGAATAAGGAGGAGGAGGAGGAGGAGGAGGAGGAGGGGAAGGAGGAGGGGAAGGGGGAGGAGGAGGGAGAGGAGGAGTGAGTTCCAGTCTGTACCAAAGCAGAGAGGCAGGAGATGGAATCCGTATGGGGCCAACTTGACTAGAACCGAGAGTCCATGAAGGGGAATAATATGAAATAAGACTGGAAAGAGAAGTGAGGAAGAGAATGGTTCTGATCCTGGAAGATAAAAGGAAAAAGAGTAGTTAATAGATTTGAGTTTGACATACCTATGACTCTGGCTGAAGTTATGGAAACATTCGCTGCTGTTTCCCAGGCAGAATACAGGTACCATCAGTAGGAGAGGGATTAGGCTAGGAAGAGAGACTACGTGACCTTCAGGAATGGAGCATTTTGTGAACTTCTCTTCCCTCCAGACTCCCTCCCACGTCTCCCACCCACACACGCGCGCGCACGCGCGCACACACACACATGCCCCTCTCAGAAAAGACAGATGTTTTCTTCTTGCTACCATGATTCTCTGAGAACATTGTCATCATCGTATATTTTGTCTTCCTGGTCCTGCTCGCTTCTCTCTCAATCCGTTTCTACATCTTCCCACGCTTCTCTGGATCTATCCTATTCATTATTTCTTACAACATAGCGATATCCCACTACATTTGAGTCCCATAATTTGTGTAGCCATTCACCAGTGGATTCTCCTGTTTCTTTGTACCTGGTCCCTAGCGTCTGGAGAATTCAAACCCTTACAAGAAGAGGAAGGAGAGGCAGAATCTCACCTGGACAAAACAACAGCTATCCATCCAACTCTGGAGGTGTAGTCCTGTGAGAATGACAGATGGGATCAGTGTCCTAGGACTAGGCTGCTGCATTATGGGAAAGATCCCAAGATGATAAACACCAACCAGGTTCCCTCTTGCCAATGCAGATCACTGCCTCACTGCCAATGCGATGCCTGTGGTACCCACAGGTTAAGGGAATAGAGGTACAATCCTTGCCTTTTAAGAGTTTATAATAGGAAGACCTGGGTTTAAATCCAGCCTCAGACACTTATTAGTTATGTGACTCTGGGCAAGTCACTTCACCCTGTTTGCCTCAGTCTCCTCATCTGTAAAATTATCTGGAGAAGGAAATAGCAAATCACTCCAGTGTTTTTGCCAAGAAAACCCCAAATGGGGTCACAGAAAGTCAAACACAACTAAAAAATGACTTTAAAACAACAAATGAAAGATAATTAACAGAATTAAGAGATGATGGAAGATATTTTTAAACCAGACTTAATAACAGTTATGGGAACTTTAAGTGAAATCCCTCTACCAAAGCCAATTAGCAACCTATCTGCAATTTACAGCCGTGGAGAGTTGTCTGGGATGCTGAGGGTTAAGTGACTTGCCCAGGGTCACACAGCCAGTATGTGTCATAAATGTGACTTGAGCTCAGGTTCTCCTGATTCTAAAACCAACCCTCCAACCACTGCTGTCTCTCACACACCACCCTCTAAGTGTAGAAAAACAAGACACTGAAAACTCCTTAAATTGACTAGAATTTGGTTGTATGGAATATTGCTTAAAATAACGGCAAGGAAGATGTTTTCCTTCTGTGTCCCACCCACCCCCTTATAACTGACCATAGTGTTTGGCTAAGGTGGCTAAGTAATAAGTACGTGGTAATCAGTTGATTGATTGATTATGTTAATATCTAGGCCATCATATTTTAGGAAGTTACATTGATTAGCCAGAGAGTGTCCTAAAGTGGGCAACCAGGGTGGTGGAAAACCTTGACATCATATTGTATCAATGAAACTGGAGATGATGGATGTGGAGAAAAGAAAATGCAGAAGAAGGGATGTCATGGGGAAGAGAGATTCACCTCGTTCTGCCAGACCTTGGGGGCAGACCCAGGAGATAGTGCAAAGAAGAAATTTTGGCAATGATGCAAGGGGCAGCTAGATGGCGCAGTGGATAGAGCACCAGCTTTGGAGTCAGGAGGACCTGAGTTCAAATCCAGCCTCAGACACTTACTAGCTGTGTGACCCTGGGCAAGTCACTTAGCTCCAACTGCCTAAAAATAAAAAAAAAAAAATTAAAAAAAAAGAAACATGTAATGATGTAAAAAAAGAAACATGCAAAGACCCTCCTAACAGTGAAGGCTGCCTCAGAATGCAGTGGATTCCTCTTCCCTACATGCCCTCAAGCAAAAGCTGGATGACCACTTGTTAAGAGCTATGAACTAGAACTAGAAGGGAGCTCGGGGGGCTATCAAATCCAACTCTCTTGTTTTTACAGATGGAGAAACTGAGGCCCAAAGAGGTGAAGTGAGGTAGGAAGTATCATGGCTGGACTAGGAACCCAGGCCCTCAGCTATATAACCAGTGCTATTTGTGATGTGACAGGGCACCTGCTGTGGTATCATACAGGGGATGCTCGTCAAGGGAAGGGCTGAGCTAAGAGAAATCCTCTGAGGTCTCTTTCAAGCTCCCAGATTCTGGGACTGACCAACTCAATCGGGAGAGTATCACCCTGGGGAGCAACACAGCGGAGCAAAATGGTGAGGAAGGAGTTCACACTTTCTCCCTTTTAATGCCCTTTCTTGAGCCCCACAACCTCCTGGGTTCCTGCTTTCTCACCATTGGCTATTGCCAAAAGACAAAGGCAGATGTGAAGGGCAAGACAGATTTCACCCAGGAAGGCAGAAAGAAGGAAGAAGAGACATCAGAAAGCCTATAACTCATATTCCTTCCTTATGCAGTCCTCAACGGGGGAGGAAAGACCTCTTTAAGCAGAGAATAAAGGAGACATTTGCCATAAATATGCTGTGGAGCCCCAGGAAGGAGACTGACTTCAACAACAATTATTAAGTACCCCTGCCTTTCAATTAAATTCAAGACATTTATTAATCATTTACTCTGGGCAGCCACAGTGCTGAGCACTAGGGATACATAGAAGAAATCAATCAATAAGTATTTATGGCAGAAACAGATGTTGTCCTTTGTTCTTGAAGAGGACCCATGACTTCATGGGCGATGTCTTGACTTGTGCATGAACTGAATTTAAGTAAGCCAAATCTCTGAAAAGTCAGCCTCACTCTCTCCTCCAAGAGTCATCAAAGTCCAGCGGCAAAACATAAGTCAAGACAACTGGCTGAGACCTGGGAAAAGACCTTTTACAGATGAGAAACTGAGGCAAATAGGTTTAAGTGACTTGTCAAGGGTCACACAGCCAGTAAGTGTCTGAGTCCAGCTCTGAATTCACAAAGAGTCTTCCTGACTCCAGGCCCGGCACTCTATCCGCTAGGAACAGCAGGAATAATCCTTCATTTATATAGCTTTGGTTTCCAAAGTAAGGCAGGTGATTCAGGTGTCATCCCCACTTTACAGAGGAGACAACCAGGGAGGTTATTTATTAAGCTGTACGGCAGGTACTTTGTTGGGCATTGGGGACATAAAGACAGAAATAAAACAGGACCTTCCCTCAAGAGACTTACATTCTCTAAGGGGAGATGACATTCTATTTGGTGTTTAAAGCCCTTCACTGCCTAGCATCCCCCTGTATTTCCATTCTTCTTACACCTTATTCCCCACCATGTACTCTTCAATCCAGTGACACTGGCCTCTTTACTGTGCCTTGAGTAAGACACTCTATCCCTCGTCTCTTGGCATTTTCTCTGGTGGTCCCCCATGCCATCATCTGGCCTCCTGACTTCCCTGGCTTCTTTCAAGCCTCAGCTAAAATCCCACCTACTCCAGGAAGTCTTTCCCAACTCCTTTTCATTCTAGTACCTTCCCTCCGTTGATTATTTCCTATTTATCCTATAGCTAGTTTGTACATGTTTGTTTGCTTACTGTCTCCCCCATTCGACTGTAAGCTCCTTGAGGGAAGGAGCTTTTAAAAAGCCTCTTTTTGTATCCCCAAGGCTTATCATGGTGCCTGGCACACCATAGGCACTTAATAAATGCTTATTAACTGACTGACTGATATACATAAATAATATATGCAGATTATATACAAAATAAATGTCATGGGCAGCACAGCATACTGGAGAGAGAACCAGCCTGAAACCTGAGTCTCTGACCTTCTCTACCATTTCCCAGCAGCCTGGAAGATGTCTCTGCCTTCATAGGCCCTCTTCTGATCTAGATAGCTAGAAGAGACCTCAGTGGTCATTATGTGAAGTCCATACGTGAACAAGAATCCCCTTTAAAATCCACATGGCTCTGCTTGAAGACCCCCAAGGAAGAGGAGCTCATCCCAACTGGAGATCGCCCCAACTGTTAGGAAGCCCTTCCTGACATGCAACATTAATTCACTTCTAGCTCCTGGATCTGCCCTGTGGGGCCAAGCAGACCAAGTCTCTTTCTTCTTTCACTGGACAGCCCTCCAAATACTGGAAGACAGCTCTCCTGGTGCCACTAAGTCTTCTTCAGTTAAACATCCATCTCTGTGGCCAGGGTGTTAACCAAAGGTTAAATACCCTTCATCCTTTGACCATCAGAGAAGAATAAATCCCCTGCTCCTTTCCAATGCCTGCCTTTCAGATCATGGCAAGGATGGGTGAACCCACAGTGGACAGTGGCTTCTTCTTGACCTAAAGACCCAAGGACTTAAGGAAGGCCCCTTCTCTAAGCCTCCTAAGCTCCCTATCCTCCAAAAAAAGGCTTTTCTGGAAAGCAGAGTTTGAGTTTTTTTATTTCCACCAGGTTATGGTCCACTCTGAGGTTGGCTTTCCCAAAGCCAGGGAGACAGAAGGGGAACGCTGGGAAGCCAAGGAGCAAAGGTCTTCTTTAATTAAATCCCACCCAATGCACCTGAGCCAAGAGTAGAAGCTAATATTCTTTGAAAAGAATAGGGGCTGGGGCAGCTAGGTGGTGCAGTGGATAGAGCACTGGCCCTAAAGTCAGGAGGACCTGAGTTCAACTCTGGCCTCAGACCAAACACTTGACACTTACTAGCTGTGTGACCCTGGGCAAGTCACTTAACCCCAATTGCCTAAAAAAAAAAAAAAAGAAAGAGAGGCAGCTAGGTGGTGCAGTGGATAGAACTTTGGCCTTGGAGTCAGAGGGCTAGAGTTCAAATCCAGCCTTAGACACTTACTAGCAGTGTGACCCTGGGCAAGTCACTTAACTCTAATTGCCTCAGCAAAAAAAAAAAGAAAGGGTAGAAAGACCTCATTTTTTTCTTGGGCTTATAACTGAAAGGTATTTTAGAGATTATCTAATTCAACTCATTTTACAGATGAGGAAACTGACACCCAGAAAGCTTCAGTGATTTGCCTGGGGTTACATAAATAGTAAGTGGTAGAGCCAGGATTCAAACCCAGGTCCTCTGACTCCAGGACCAACACTCTTTCCCCTGTGTCACCATACTCTTCTTTAAAAAAAAAAATTTTTTTTGGAGGCAATCAGGATTAAGTGACTTGCCCAGGATCACATAGCTCATACGTGTCAGAGGCCAAATTTGCACTCAGGTCCTCTTGACTTTAGGACTGGTGCTCTATCCACTATGGTGCCACCTAGATGTCCCTTAAATTAATTTTTAAAAAAGTTTTATCCATGCTTTTCATTTTGACACTACAGCTATTTCCTAATATACCCCACCCCCACGCTAGTGGGTCCCACCTCAGGCCAGAGAAAAGCAGCTTAGCGGCCAAGCCTGACAGCATAAGTTCCATTCCTCACCTGTAGCCCCCCACCTTCTCTCCCAAGGAGGAAAGTGTTAACAGACTCTCCTTGTATTCCCTGAGCTACACTCACCGTTGTGGAGGCCGAGTAGATATTCTGGTTGTATTTCACCTTCAGGTCCATGTAAAGGTGCCACGTGAAGTTGACAGTGTAGAGAAAGGATGAGATGTAGAAGATCTAGGAAAATTCAGATGGCCAGTCAAATTTGTCCACTCGCCCATTCATTCCCTTGGCCTCCCAATTTCTCCTAATGGCACTAACCCTTTGCTGGTTCACCAGCAGGAGGTGCTTTTCAAAGCTAGGGAAAATTGAGTGACTTGTCTGTGACTCACACAAGTCAAACCCAACTAGAGCCCAGCTCCAGCCTCTGCGGTGGATGTTAAGGTTGCTAATGTCTGTTGCTGAATGCTTACACACCAGCAGCAGCTGCCCCTACCAAGAGTTTAAAGTGGTTTCCAGGAGTGTGGTGGTAAAGGTTTAACAACCAGCTCTCCAGAAGAACAAACAAACCCACAATACAGTTTTAAGTTTAATTTGAACCATTAACATTTTCTTTAAGTCTAGGTGATCAACAAAACAATAAATCAAGCCATAGTTTAGTCTCTTTCAATCGCCAAAGTGCAAATGCTCATGCTGAAAATTTAACAACTGGCTCTTGCCAGCCAGTTGGAGCTGGCTCCAACACATCCCTGGATGTATTACATTTCTAGCCAACCTGATATATCACAAAAATTCTTTGGAGTTAAAAAGGAATCTCTGAAGTTACCTAATCCAAATTCCCATCCAATGCACAAATCCTACAGTCATAGATAGTATCCTGGCTCTGCTTAAATATTTGCAGTAGGGCTCACTGCCCCTCACAAAGTAGCCTATTCCAAAGCCTAGCACAGTGCCTTGAACATAAATGAATACATGAAGAATCTGTCATTTTGTCAGTGTCGGGAACTTCCTGTGTGGAAACTCGCTCCACCAACATGAATTGCAATCCATCTATAACTCAGTAGATCTGTTCTAGGGAGCTGTCTGAGACAAATAGTGGTTAAATGATTGGCTAGTGTGAGAGGGGGGATACGAACCCAGGCCTTCCTGATTGTGAGCCCAGCACATCGTGTACTACTCCTCGCTCACAAATATAGCATAATGAATGTTTATTGAGTTGAATGGAATTCCTTTGTTAGACCGCTCAAATATTTGGAAAGTTCATTTGAGCACTGAACAAAATTCCCCTCCTCTGTAATTTCCACTCACTGATTCTAGTCCATCCCTCCAAAGCTACATGGAATGTCTGTTTCTTCTCCTGTGTAAGATTCCTTTAAATATTTGAAGACAGCTATTGTGTGTACTCTAAATCTCTTCTCCCTTCAGACAGCCCTAGTTTCTCCAGCTTTTACCAGATGATGGTTTCCAGGCTTTTTCACCTTTTCTGGTCATGCTCCAATTTGTCACTTTTGGAGGGGAGAAGTGTGTGTGTGGGGGAGGTCCTGGACCTGTGATTTTACCAGTGTAGGGACCTTCCTACACTGTGTGGAAAGTGTGGAAACACCTTCTACCAATGCAGATCACAACATCTTAGTACAACTGAAAGAGCTTTTAAAGATCATTACATCCAACCCCCTCATTTTACAGATAAGGATACTGAGACTGAGAAGCAATTGATATGCCTACAATCACACAGCCAGTATGTGTCAGAGATTCCTAACTCTGAGGGTGGTGCTGTATTTTCTTCAACTGCTATACCCAGAACTGAACACAATATTCCAAGACTTGTAGATCCAGATTTAAAAGAAAAGAGAAAAAATGTTCATATTTTGAAACAATGACAAAAATCTTCATAGGTCTCCCCCTCTAGATAGTGAGCTTCTCGAGAGCATATAAGTATGATTGAAAGAAGTGACTATTGTGAAATTATAATGACCAAGCTGGACAACAGAGAAGTGAGAAAATACATCCTGTTCCCTTCTTTGCATAGATGGGGGACTGTGGGTGTGGAACACTGCATATGATGTCAGACTTAGACAATGTTCTCTTAAACTGTATTTCCATTTTCTTTTTTCATCCTTTCTTACAAGAGATGGCTTATTGCATAGAGAGAAGGAGAGGGATAGATTGAAAAATGTTTGTTGTTGTTGCTGTTCAGTTGTTTTCAGTCATGTCTGACTCTCTTTGACTCCATTTGGGGTTTTCTTGGCAGAGATACTGGAGCGGTTTGCCATTTCCTTCTCCGGTTCATTTTACAGATGATTAAACTGAGGCAAACAGGGTGAAGTGACTTGCCCTTGGTCACACAGCTAATAAGTGAATGAGGCTGGATTTGAACTCAGGAAGACATCAGGCCCAGTGTTCTAAATAAAGTCAATGTACAAACAAAAGGTATTCGTTTTAAAAATGAGTCAGAGGATGTAGGATTTGGGGGGATTTTATCAGTTGCATAAAGCAAGGTCACTCTGCTTTGTAATGTTTATAAGATTAGTGGCAAAGACATCACCTTAAACAAACTCATGAGTCCTGCATCCCTAGCACAGGATGAAGAAGCAGAGAGGTTTTATGAAGATGCTCCCAAAGTCCTCCGAAGGAAGCTGGTTGACATGACTTCAGAGTAATGATAGGGACAGAATGGGGACATGGGGAAATAAGTACATTGGAAAATGCGGTTCAGGATGAAGAAATAACAATCACCACTGGAAGGCGGTGTCACAGAGTGCACAGTGAATCATTCTGGTGAGTGTACTGAGGCTGAATTAGAGTAGGCAGACACTTGAGACAAAGAGACTATAGAGGAGGAGATTGCAATGGTCTAGGTAAAAGAGGATATTGTCTAGTCATTTTTCAGTTGTGTCTGACTCTTTGGAGTTTTCTTGGCAGAGACACTGGAGTGGTTTGCCATTTCCTTCTCCAGCTCATTTTACAGATGAGAAAACTGAGGCAAACAGGGTGAAGTGACTTGCCCAGGTCACACAGCTAGGAAGTGTCTGAGACCAAATTTGAACTCTGGTCTTCACATCCAGACCCACTATATCTCTTAGCTGCCCATATACCTACTTTCTCATCTTTTAAAATATTTTTCCAATGTTCTACACACATACCTAGAGTATTATGGGACTCTCCAATCCAGTGACACTGGCTTCCTTACTGTCCCTCACACAAGACGCTCCATCTCTCGGCTCTGGGCATTCTCTCTGGCTGTTCCTCATGCCTGGAATGCTCCCTTTCTTCATCTCCACCTCCTGGCTTCCCTGGATTTTTTTAAGTCCCTGCTAAAATCCCACTTTCTACAGGAAGTTTTCCTCAGTGCCTTCCCTCTGCTGATTCTTTCCTATTTATCCTATAGATAATTTGTACATATTTATTTATATATTGTCTTCCTCCACTAGACTGTAATTTCCTTGACAGGGGGCAGGGGATGAGTTCTGCCTTTGTGTTCCTAGCACTTAGCACAGTGCTTGGCTCTTAATAAATGCCTGTTGACTGCCTGAAATGGAAGCAGATAGGTTTTCACAAATGATTCCCTAGGGCACTTCACATCTTTATGATCGTGACTGACTTAAAGATAACTTGAATACAAGATCATACTATGATTACTACGTTGGTGGGGCAGATTCCCTCCCTGGCTGAATCCTTCCTCTATTGCTGGCTTCTGGCCTGCACTGCTAAACTCTCAAACTCTTGCCTCTTACCACCTGTGATCTTGTACATGATACATAATTTCTCTGGGCCTCAGTTTCATCATCTGTGAAAGGAGGTGGGAAAGAGTTGGTCTAGAATGATGACCAGGCATCTGTAGACAATTGGTGGGGTGGTGGATGGAGTAATGGACCTGGAGTCAGGAAGACCTGAGTACAAATCCAGCCTCAGACACTGACTAGTTGTGTGACTCTGGACAAGTCACTTAACCTCTGCCTCAGTTTTCACATCAGCTCAGATTTGAAACCAAGTCTTCTGAATACAAAGCCAGTGCTCTGGCCACCACACCACTCTGCTTCCCTAAGTCATTTCATCTCTCTCAGCCTCAGTTTCCTTATTTGAAAAATGAGGATAACAGTAACATCTAGGGAAGCTACATGACCCTGGAGAAGTCGCTTAACTTATAAATTGCAGAAAAGGTGACTATCTGCATTAGTAGAAGGAGTTTTCCTTATTTGAGAGTTCCGTACCAATGAAATCATAAATCCAATCTTTATCCTTATTGGTACTTCACAGGACTGTGAGGTTCAAATGATGTAATATATGTAAAGCACTTTGCAAAGTGATACAAAGAAAAAAATGGCTCCATGTACTTCAGCCAATCTCAAAGTAAACAGCTATGGATCAACAGAGAGCCTACTTTGGGAAAGAAAGCATTGCTATTTCTCCATACCCCACTTCCCTCTGGGGCCCACACTCCAACTTAGCCCAGCTCCAGGAGGACAAATCCTGGATTTGCTCACAGTGAGCTTCTAGGAGCCAAGAGCCAGGCTCTTCTCTCACCCGCTCCCTTTTCTCTTCATAGCAGCATCCCCCAAACCTAGGATTTCTAGGGACTGGATCAAGCTCCACAAAGCTTGGAGTCCCACAGTCTTGACCGAGGGTATGCTGAGCCACACCATCAGAGAATCCAAGAATAGCAATGGCTTGGAGGATTAATCGGATTGAGTCTCTCAGAGCCAGATGGTCCCAGCAGAGCTTTCCAGTCCACACGTCATGCAGGCGTCATAGGATCGTAGATTTAGAACTGCATGGGGCCTCTGAGGCCATCTAGTTCAATCCCCTTGTTTTACAGATGAGGAAACTGAGACCATAGAGGTGAAGGGACTTCCCTAAAGGCACTGAGTGACAGAGGTGGCACCTGATCCAGATCCAGATCTCTCACTCTTTCTACTGTACCACATTGTCGCCGCTGCTGTCATTCACCAGCTTATTGGTCAGTCAGCTGAGCTCACGATGGCCAGTAACCCTGAGGTGAACGCCAGGTCTCAAGCTGTAGTGTAGAAATCAAGTCAAGTTAGTCCAGGGGGCTAGCTTCCACATGAACCGTTTGTCAGGGAATGACCAAGGGGAGGTTTTTCGGGAGGTATTGTGGTACAGTAGAAAGAACTTAGGCCCTGGAGTCAGAAAACTGGTAAAGATGTCAGGGGATAAGAGTAGTCAGCGTTGGAGTGACCAAGAAAAGACAGGCAAGTTCAAGTCAATGAGCATTTTTT